TGATGTATAAGACAGACAGACAGACATTNTCATTGACACCCTCCAGGGCTTAGGGTTCTCGATTAATTTTGAGAAGAGTACTCTCTCCCCATCCACCCGAATCCTACACCTGGGGGCGGTGATTAATTCCCGGTTGGGTCGAGTGTTTCTTTCCCCGGACCGCAGGTCCAGTTTGTTGAAGTTAATTAACCAGATCCGGAAGGATCATTGTGTTCCCGTAGCTCTTCTTTCCAGCTTGCTGGTAAAGTTCATCTCATGCATCGAAGTGGTCCCCTAGGCACGACTACATGCCAGGACGCTCCAATGGAGGCTGCTGCCATATCAGAGGGCCAATTCCAGCAACTCGACGCTCAAGGTACCAACGCCGCCGCAGGTGCTGATGTCTCCCAAGTGGTGGATGTCCCCAGCTTTGCTCAAGGCTTGCGAATTCAGGGAACAAGAGCGCTTCATACTGACAACAGATGCCAGCCTGTTCAGTTGGGGGGTGACCCTAGGTTTCCAGCTGGCACAGGGCCGGTGGTCAAAGAACGACTTTCAACACAACATAAATTGGCTGGAGCTTCGGGCAGTCCATCTTGCCCTACGATGGTTCCAACCCTCAGTAGAAGGTCATCACGTCCTCATCTTAACAGACAACGTTGCAGCAAAGGCGCACATCAATGGATGGGGGCACATGATCCAGGGCGTTGCACAGCGAGGCGATGTCGCTGGGATACTGGGTGGAGAAACACCGAGCAGAACACATCACCGGCATCGACAACCATCAGGTGGACTGTCTGAGCTGGGAGAGGGTAGACAACGGAGAGTGGAGTCTGTCCAAGGAGCTCTTCCAGAGGATCTGCCAGAGGTTCGGGAGACCAGTGGTGGACCTGTTCGCCACTCCATCCAATGCTCAGCTGCCGTGGTTCTTCTCTCAGTTCCCAGCTCGGGGAACGGAGGGGGTCAACGCCCTTCACTCCAAATGGCCAGTTGGGCTGCTATACACTCCCCCCTACCTCTCCTTCCCAGGGTTATCCAGAAGGTAGTCAGAGAGCAGGCCGAAGAAATCCTAATGGCCCCCTACTGGCCCAGGAGGGCTTGGTTCGTGGACCTGCTGAATCTGTTGGCAGGGAGACCGTGGAGGGGGGAGGTGAGATTGCTACAGGGGAAGTTGTTCCATCCAGATCCACAGTGGCTCCAACTGGCCGTGTGGAGATTGAGCAGGAGTGTCTAAGAGGCGCCCTCCTGTCCCAAAAGGTGATCAGAACCATCGAGGCCTCCCACAGACAGTCAACAAACAGGCTTTACGATTCCACTTGGGAGATGTTTGTCTCCTGGTTCCAGGCCTCCCAGGTGACCCCCTCCAGGGCCACGGTCCCTCAAGTCCTGGATTTCTTCCAGGAGGGTCTGGACAAGGGCTTGTCCCTAGCTACAGTTAGGAGACAGATAGCGGCACTGGCCACAGTGCTACCTGGGGAGGGGCCCACTTTGCTACTTCGTTTGCCTTTAGTTAAGAGGCTCCTCAAGGGGGAGGCCCACCTTCGTCCACCACCAGTCCACAGGTTTCCAACGAGTCACCTTCCCACGGTGCTACGGGCCCTTATGGCCAAGACTTTTGAACCACTCTGGACGGTTAGCCGGAAGCTCCTCACTTATAAGGTTGTGTTCCTGGTGGCTATCACCTCGGCTAGGCGAGTCTCGGAGCTGGGGGCTCTCTCCTCCAGGGAGGATCTATGCACATTTCACAATAACAGGGTAGTGCTACGCCTGGACCCAGCTTTCCTGCCAAAGATAAACATGGTCTTCCACCGGGTGCTGGAGGTGGTTCTTCCGGACTTCTGTCCAGACCTGACCAGGGAGCGGGAGCACAGTTGGCACCATTTAGATGTAAGAAGGGCCTTACGGATTTACCTAAGGTGGATGGCGGAGTTTCGTAGGTCTGAGGCTCTGTTTTTATCCTTCCAACCGTCGTCGCTAGGGAAGAGGGTCTCCCCATCCACCATTAGTTGGTGGATCCATCTGGCCATTGCCCTCACCTACCAGGCGCAGAACTTGCCAGTTCCATCTGGCATCACGGCCCACTCCACTAGGAGTGCAGCCACCTTGGCGGCCTGGGAGGCCCTCCCAGGCCCCTGCAGGGCAGTGACATGGGCATCTCTGTCGCCCTTCATCCGGCACTACAGACTGGATGCCTTTGCATCTTCCGACGTGGCATTCAGCCACAGGGTCCTGCAACAGGTCCTGTCGGATCAGTGAGGGCCCACCCTTGGGACGAAACTTGGG